TATACATTTAACTCTGCAACACATTGTTCGTTTCTTATTGTTATTATCTCTCTCTGACTGTTGCACTGAGCCAAAGCAATTTCCAAGTCTGTGGCTTCCTGTTACTTACGTTGGCAATAAAAATGATTCTGATTCCTATTCAAGACTGGACCTCTCTGATCAGTGGACCTCTCTGATCAGTGGACCTCTCTGATCAGTGGACCTCTCTGATCAGTGGACCTCTCTGATCAGTGGACCTCTCTGATCAGTGGACCTCTCTGATCAGTGGACCTCTCTGATCAGTGGACCTCTGTGATCAGTGGACCTCTGTGATCAGTGGACCTCTGTGATCAGTGGACCTCTGTGATCAGTGGACCTCTATGATCAGTGGACCTCTGTGATCAGTGGACCTCTCTGATCAGTGGACCTCTCTGATCAGTGGACCTCTCTGATCAGTGGACCTCTCTGATCAGTGGACCTCTGTGATCAGTGGACCTCTCTGATCAGTGGACCTCTCTGATCAGTGGACCTCTATGATCAGTGGACCTCTCTGATCAGTGGACCTCTGTGATCAGTGGACCTCTCTGATCAGTGGACCTCTGTGATCAGTGGACCTCTGTGATCAGTGGACCTCTGTGATCAGTGGACCTCTGTGATCAGTGGACCTCTGTGATCAGTGGACCTCTCTGATCAGTGGACCTCTCTGATCAGTGGACCTCTATGATCAGTGGACCTCTCTGATCAGTGGACCTCTGTGATCAGTGGACCTCTCTGATCAGTGGACCTCTGTGATCAGTGGACCTCTGTGATCAGTGGACCTCTCTGTGATCAGTGGACCTCTGTGATCAGTGGACCTCTGTGATCAGTGGACCTCTGTGATCAGTGGACCTCTGTGATCAGTGGACCTCTGTGATCAGTGGACCTCTCTGATCAGTGGACCTCTCTGATCAGTGGACCTCTCTGATCAGTGGACCTCTGTGATCAGTGGACCTCTCTGATCAGTGGACCTCTGTGATCAGTGGACCTCTGTGATCAGTGGACCTCTGTGATCAGTGGACCTCTGTGATCAGTGGACCTCTGTGATCAGTGGACCTCTCTGATCAGTGGACCTCTCTGATCAGTGGACCTCTATGATCAGTGGACCTCTCTGATCAGTGGACCTCTGTGATCAGTGGACCTCTCTGATCAGTGGACCTCTGTGATCAGTGGACCTCTGTGATCAGTGGACCTCTCTGATCAGTGGACCTCTGTGATCAGTGGACCTCTGTGATCAGTGGACCTCTGTGATCAGTGGACCTCTGTGATCAGTGGACCTCTGTGATCAGTGGACCTCTCTGATCAGTGGACCTCTCTGATCAGTGGACCTCTCTGATCAGTGGACCTCTGTGATCAGTGGACCTCTGTGATCAGTGGACCTCTATGATCAGTGGACCTCTCTGATCAGTGGACCTCTCTGATCAGTGGAAGCGGTCCTGAGGGTAAACTGATTGCAAAGAGACCTTTGAGCAAAAACTTATCAACTTGGAAGAAAAACACAAAAATAGTGGAGACGATGATACCCTGCAAAAAATAAAAGAAATTAAACGCGAAATCAATCAAGAATTACAGAATAAAATAAAGACTCAACTGCTTTATCTAAAACAGAGCTATTATGAAGCAGGAAGTAAATCTACAAAGGTCCTGGCCTACAGACTTCTAAAACAACAAGCAGAAAGATCTGTTACAGGATAAAAGATCCCTCTACTAATGAAGTCACAAAGAGTTAGAAGTTAGAGACATTTCTGCTGAATATTATCAGAAACTTTATAGTTTAAAGGAGCCAGATACGGAAGATATGACCTCACCAATGTTAAAACAATGTTAAACCAATGTTAAACCAATGTTAAAACAATGTTAAACCAATGTTAAACCAATGTTAAACCAATGTTAAAACAATGTTAAACCAATGTTAAACCAATGTTAAACCAATGTTAAACCAATGTTAAACCAATGTTAAACCAATGTTAAACCAATGTTAAAACAATGTTAAACCAATGTTAAACCAATGTTAAACCAATGTTAAACCAATGTTAAACCAATGTTAAAACAATGTTAAACCAATGTTAAACCAATGTTAAACCAATGTTAAACCAATGTTAAAACAATGTTAAAACAATGTTAAACCAATGTGAATTGCCTTTGCTCTCTAGTGAACAAAATACATACAAATATAACTGCTCAGGAACTGGCAAAAGCAGTTAAAAGGCTCAAATTGAATAAATCTCCAGGTTCCGACGGCTACAATGCTGACTGGTACAAGATATACCTGGAAGAACTGAGTAAATGAAAGGTGTGTATAAGAGCTTGTATCTGATTGTTGTGCATGTGAAGATTTGCTTTTACTATTATGAACTTGATCAATGTAAATGCCATTATCCATGTGTGCATGACGTTTTTATGTTTTTTTACTATAACATCAGCCTGCCCAGGGACTACGGGTGGAAATTAGCTCTTGAGCTATAACTTGGTACAATGCATCTCTCCCCTTGGGGTTAATGTTTATTGTACACTGTCCCTGTTTCTCTAAATAAAGAAAATTACAAATTACAAATTACAAACTCTCACCTCTACTCCTTAAGACATTTAACTGGGTTTTGAACGGGGGTCAAATCCCACCCACTTGGAAAGAGACCATTATCACAGTTATCCCAAAGGATGGTAAGGACAAATTAGATTGCTCAAATTTCAGACCCATTAGTTTACTGAATCAGGATTATAAGATCTTCACCTCCATCTTGGCCAAAAGACTGGAATATATTCTCCCGGACATAATAAATTTGGACCAGACAGGCTTTATCAAGGAGAGGAAAACTAGAGATATTATAAGACACTACATGTGATTCATCAAATACAGAAAGATAAAAAACCAGCTGTTGTTTTGGGTCTGGACGCACAAAAAGCATTTGACACTGTAGATTGGGCTTTTCTTTATAAAGTACTTTCCAAATTTAACTTTACCAAAAAGTTTATAAAATAATACAAGGATTATATAACAAACCTATAAGGAAAATTAGAATAAATGGAGGTCTATCAAATCCTCTTAATATTGAACAAGGTTGTAGACGGGGCATTTATCTCCCATTTTATTTGCCAGTTTTATTGAGCCCCTGGCACAATATATCAGACAAAATAGAAAGATAAAAGGCATTAAAGTGAATGAGAAGGAACAGAAGAGTGCCCTGTTTGCTGATGATGTCCTAGTTTACTTGGCTAAACCCACCGAATCGTTTTAATGGAATTCAGCAACATCTCAGGCTATAGATTAAACTCTCATAAATCACAAGTATTGACATTCAACTACAACCCAGAAGATCCCATAAAGAAAATAATTAAAATCAATTGGTGCATTGACTCAATAACATACTTGGGAGCACATATTCCAAAGGACATACAAACTTTAAAGTCAAAAAACTACGATCCACTTATTGCTAAAATTAAAACTGATTTGGATAGATGGAGCCTGATCCCCTATCTAGGACTTTTATACAGAGTATTAAACTATTATATCTATTTCAAACAATACCTGTTGACTCTTCAACAACAGTGTTCCAGGAACTGGATAAATTATTTTCAAGGTTTATCTGGGAAGGGAAAGAACCTAGAATAAGATACAAAACTCTACAAATGGCAAGAAACAAGGGTGGACTCTCTCTTCCAAATCTGAAGAATGATCACAGAGCGGCCCAACTAAGCCCACTGTTTGATATTTGCAGCTCATCATTTACAGCAAAATGGAAAGACATTGAATCTAGATCTGAAGTAACCCCTGTACCGGCAATCATTGGCAACACTCATTTAATGAGTAATGTGAGGGATCTTAACCCATGGACCAAGGCAGCACTTGATCTGGTCAAAAACAATAAAGGACAATCCAAAATGCACCCTTATGAAGGACTTTACCCCAAATGTAGGAGATAAAACATTTAAAAATTGGTCTGACAAAAGGTTTAATGACTTACAATCAGTTTTATCGTAAAGATCAAATGAGGAACTATCAAGATTTGAAAAGGACCTACAATCTTGACAACAAAGACTTTTTCCGATACCTCCAGGTCCGCCACTACTTGAACCTCAATTATAGAGACCATACAAATCAGCTGTCAGGATTAATAACAATATTTATAAAAGCATATCAGCAAGGACCAAACCATAAGTTGATTTCTAAACTATATGATGAGCTGCAAAACTTGCAGAATGAAAATATTCTGTATATTAAAGAAAAATGGGAGAAAGAGGGTAATCTCTCCATACAAATGGAAAATTGGGTTCAAATCCCTGTTAATGACATCCCCAGTCCAGAGAGGCTCAAGTGCTGACACTTCATGTTGGAGGTTAGGTGGAAACGGCATCACCACATATTCTGGAGTTGTTCAAAAATAACCAATTACTGGATGGCTATTAAACAGGGCATTGACACAGTTTTTACAACCAGACTGTATAAAAGGGACGAGAAAAAAATATATGTGGAATGTTTTACTGACAGCAAGCAAAAAAGCTATCACAAAGAAATGGATGACAGACAGAACACCTGTGTTGGGGCTGGATATCACTCTTTAAAGACATGTTTCATATGGAGAGACTGACTTCTGCACTAAGACTGGATCACCACAGATTTGAGGACTATTGGAAATGTTGGACACATTATACCAACACTTAAGGACACGTGAGATATCCCTTTGCTACTCAATTGTTCTGTACACATTCTAATGTACCATGTATGTAACATTGTGTAGATGGTTAATGTAAGAACTGCTGATGGAGTTTATCTATCTGCATAGCTGTATCCCATAAAACAGTGAAAAAGCACCTTACTACAAGACAATAACTGGACGTAACTTCAGCCCCAACTTGTCTCAACATGTGTCAAAGAAATGAAGAGGAGGCATCCTCAGTCCACTCTCAAAGATCACATCTATCTAAAGTAGGTCGTCTGCTAGTACGGCTGCTTTAAACGCTCGAGCCAAAGCTCAAAAGAGCAGAATATGCAAAAAAGGAATTTGAGATGCGAGTTAAGAAGGCGGAGCTTAAAGTTGAAGAAAGGCGTTTGGAGGCAACACAACAAGCTCTCCAACAGGAACGCGACGCAGAAGCTGCACACGCAAAAGCTGCACACGCAGAAGCTGCACACGCAGAGGCTGCACACGCAGAGGCTGCACACGCAGAAGCTGCACACGCAGAAGCTGCACACGCAGAGGCTGCACACGCAGAAGCTGCACACGCAGAAGCTGCACACGCAGAAGCTGCACCATCAGTCATGTGTAGAGTCATGATGGTACCTAATGCTACTATCAGTCATGTGTAGAGTCATGATGGTACCTAATGCTACTATCAGTCATGTGTAGAGTCATGATGGTACCTAATGCTACTATCAGTCATGTGTAGAGTCATGATGGTACCTAATGCTACTATCAGTCATGTGTAGAGTCATGATGGTACCTAATGCTACTATCAGTCATGTGTAGAGTCATGATGGTACCTAATGCTACTATCAGTCATGTGTAGAGTCATGATGGTACCTAATGCTACTATCAGTCATGTGTAGAGTCATGATGGTACCTAATGCTACTATCAGTCATGTGTAGAGTCATGATGGTACCTAATGCTACTATCAGTCATGTGTAGAGTCATGATGGTACCTAATGCTACTATCAGTCATGTGTAGAGTCATGATGGTACCTAATGCTACTATCAGTCATGTGTAGAGTCATGATGGTACCTAATGCTACTATCAGTCATGTGTAGAGTCATGATGGTACCTAATGCTACTATCAGTCATGTGTAGAGTCATGATGGTACCTAATGCTACTATCAGTCATGTGTAGAGTCATGATGGTACCTAATGCTACTATCAGTCATGTGTAGAGTCATGATGGTACCTAATGCTACTATCAGTCATGTGTAGAGTCATGATGGTACCTAATGCTACTATCAGTCATGTGTAGAGTCATGATGGTACCTAATGCTACTATCAGTCATGTGTAGAGTCATGATGGTACCTAATGCTACTATCAGTCATGTGTAGAGTCATGATGGTACCTAATGCTACTATCAGTCATGTGTAGAGTCATGATGGTACCTAATGCTACTATCAGTCATGTGTAGAGTCATGATGGTACCTAATGCTACTATCAGTCATGTGTAGAGTCATGATGGTACCTAATGCTACTATCAGTCATGTGTAGAGTCATGATGGTACCTAATGCTACTATCAGTCATGTGTAGAGTCATGATGGTACCTAATGCTACTATCAGTCATGTGTAGAGTCATGATGGTACCTAATGCTACTATCAGTCATGTGTAGAGTCATGATGGTACCTAATGCTACTATCAGTCATGTGTAGAGTCATGATGGTACCTAATGCTACTATCAGTCATGTGTAGAGTCATGATGGTACCTAATGCTACTATCAGTCATGTGTAGAGTCATGATGGTACCTAATGCTACTATCAGTCATGTGTAGAGTCATGATGGTACCTAATGCTACTATCAGTCATGTGTAGAGTCATGATGGTACCTAATGCTACTATCAGTCATGTGTAGAGTCATGATGGTACCTAATGCTACTATCAGTCATGTGTAGAGTCATGATGGTACCTAATGCTACTATCAGTCATGTGTAGAGTCATGATGGTACCTAATGCTACTATCAGTCATGTGTAGAGTCATGATGGTACCTAATGCTACTATCAGTCATGTGTAGAGTCATGATGGTACCTAATGCTACTATCAGTCATGTGTAGAGTCATGATGGTACCTAATGCTACTATCAGTCATGTGTAGAGTCATGATGGTACCTAATGCTACTATCAGTCATGTGTAGAGTCATGATGGTACCTAATGCTACTATCAGTCATGTGTAGAGTCATGATGGTACCTAATGCTACTATCAGTCATGTGTAGAGTCATGATGGTACCTAATGCTACTATCAGTCATGTGTAGAGTCATGATGGTACCTAATGCTACTATCAGTCATGTGTAGAGTCATGATGGTACCTAATGCTACTATCAGTCATGTGTAGAGTCATGATGGTACCTAATGCTACTATCAGTCATGTGTAGAGTCATGATGGTACCTAATGCTACTATCAGTCATGTGTAGAGTCATGATGGTACCTAATGCTACTATCAGTCATGTGTAGAGTCATGATGGTACCTAATGCTACTATCAGTCATGTGTAGAGTCATGATGGTACCTAATGCTACTATCAGTCATGTGTAGAGTCATGATGGTACCTAATGCTACTATCAGTCATGTGTAGAGTCATGATGGTACCTAATGCTACTATCAGTCATGTGTAGAGTCATGATGGTACCTAATGCTACTATCAGTCATGTGTAGAGTCATGATGGTACCTAATGCTACTATCAGTCATGTGTAGAGTCATGATGGTACCTAATGCTACTATCGATTTATGTGTAGAGTCATGATGGTACCTAATGCTACTATCAGTCATGTGTAGAGTCATGATGGTACCTAATGCTACTATCAGTCATGTGTAGAGTCATGATGGTACCTAATGCTACTATCGGTTTATGTGTAGAGTCATGATGGTACCTAATGCTACTATCAGTCATGTGTAGAGTCATGATGGTACCTAATGCTACTATCAGTCATGTGTAGAGTCATGATGGTACCTAATGCTTCTATCAGTCATGTGTAGAGTCATGATGGTATCTAATGCTACTATCAGTCATGTGTAGAGTCACGATGGTACCTAATGCTACTATCAGTCATGTGTAGAGTCACGGTGGTACCTAATGCTACTATCAGTCATGTGTAGAGTCATGATGGTACCTAATGCTACTATCAGTCATGTGTCGAGTCATGATGGTACCTAATGCTACTATCAGTCATGTGTAGAGTCACGATGGTACCTAATGCTACTATCAGTCATGTGTAGAGTCACGATGGTACCTAATGCTGCTATCAGTCATGTGTAGAGTCATGATGGTACCTAATGCTACTATCAGTCATGTGTAGAGTCATGATGGTACCTAATGCTACTATCAGTCATGTGTAGAGTCATGATGGTACCTAATGCTACTATCAGTCATGTGTAGAGTCACGATGGTACCTAATGCTACTATCAGTCATGTGTAGAGTCATGATGTTACCTAATGCTACTATCAGTCATGTGTAGAGTCATGATGTTACCTAATGCTACTATCAGTCATGTGTAGAGTCATGATGGTACCTAATGCTACTATCGGTTTATGTGTAGAGTCATGATGGTACCTAATGCTACTATCAGTCATGTGTAGAGTCATGATGGTACCTAATGCTACTATCAGTCATGTGTAGAGTCATGATGGTACCTAATGCTACCATCAGTCATGTGTAGAGTCATGATGGTACCTAATGCTACTATCAGTCATGTGTAGAGTCATGATGGTACCTAATGCTACTATCAGTCATGTGTAGAGTCATGATGGTACCTAATGCTACTATCGGTTTATGTGTAGAGTCATGATGGTACCTAATGCTACTATCAGTCATGTGTAGAGTCATGATGGTACCTAATGCTACTATCAGTCATGTGTAGAGTCATGTGAATATTTAATTATTTTCTGCCTGCTAAAATGTCATGTTAAACAGAGTTCACTTGTACTTTGAACTGCTTACAGAAGCATGGAAACAGATAAGACAGAACAAACAGTAAACATGTGCAGTATGGATGGTGTACGTTGGAGTTTGCTCCATTACAAAACAGTTATATCACAGTTGTACGTTGAAACCATACGTTTACTTCTGCATAGTCATGCTTCTCAGAATCTATGCTTACATAATCATTTACAGTGTATATAAGCAGTTAGCCTTTGTCAATACTTTAGACTTCTGAGGCCAGACAGGATGGGAGGCTGCGTTATGCTTGTTCAGACTACGCTCAAACCTTCTGATAATAAAGACTCTATTTTGCAGTTTTGTCGAAGTCACGTTTTGTCTTACGTCTGGGTATATTCACAATTTGGTGACCGATGGTACCTAATGCTACTATCAGTCATGTGTAGAGTCATGATGGTACCTAATGCTACTATCAGTCATGTGTAGAGTCATGATGGTACCTAATGCTACTATCAGTCATGTGTAGAGTCATGATGGTACCTAATGCTACTATCAGTCATGTGTAGAGTCATGATGGTACCTAATGCTACTATCAGTCATGTGTCGAGTCATGATGGTACCTAATGCTACTATCAGTCATGTGTAGAGTCATGATGGTACCTAATGCTACTATCAGTCATGTGTAGAGTCATGATGGTACCTAATGCTACTATCAGTCATGTGTAGAGTCACGATGGTACCTAATGCTACTATCAGTCATGTGTAGAGTCATGATGGTACCTAATGCTTCTATCAGTCATGTGTAGAGTCATGATGGTACCTAATGCTACTATCAGTCATGTGTAGAGTCATGATGGTACCTAATGCTACTATCAGTCATGTGTAGAGTCACGATGGTACCTAATGCTACTATCAGTCATGTGTAGAGTCATGATGGTACCTAATGCTACTATCAGTCATGTGTAGAGTCATGATGTACCTAATGCTACTATCAGTCATGTGTAGAGTCATGATGGTACCTAATGCTACCATCAGTCATGTGTAGAGTCACGATGGTACCTAATGCTACTATCAGTTATGTGTAGAGTCACGATGGTACCTAATGCTACTATCAGTCATGTGTAGAGTCATGATGGTACCTAATGCTACTATCAGTCATGTGTAGAGTCATGATGGTACCTAATGCTACTATCAGTCATGTGTAGAGTCATGATGGTACCTAATGCTACTATCAGTCATGTGTAGAGTCATGATGGTACCTAATGCTACTATCAGTCATGTGTAGAGTCATGATGGTACCTAATGCTTCTATCAGTCATGTGTAGAGTCATGATGGTACCTAATGCTACTATCAGTCATGTGTAGAGTCATGATGGTACCTAATGCTACTATCAGTCATGTGTAGAGTCATGATGGTACCTAATGCTACTATCAGTCATGTGTAGAGTCACGATGGTACCTAATGCTACTATCAGTCATGTGTAGAGTCACGATGGTACCTAATGCTACTATCAGTCATGTGTAGAGTCATGATGGTACCTAATGCTACTATCAGTCATGTGTAGAGTCATGATGGTACCTAATGCTACTATCAGTCATGTGTAGAGTCATGATGGTACCTAATGCTACTATCAGTCATGTGTAGAGTCATCATGGTACCTAATGCTGCTATCAGTCATGTGTAGAGTCATGATGGTACCTAAT